ATTTAACTTATTGTTTTTTCTTTTTTTTTTTTTTTTTTTTTTTGGAGACAGGTTCTCCTTTTGCAGTTCAGCATGGCCTTGAACGCACTATGTAACCAGGACGGCCTTGAACCCTGGGAAATACTCCTGCCTCAGCCTCCCGAGTGCTGACATTACAGGTGTGTGCCACCATGCATGGCAATCTGATCATCTCTGCTGCTTCTCTTTTCTCCTTTGTTGCCTGGTCAACAATGTTTTCCTCAGATTTGGAGCAGAGTAGAAGTGGGAGAGAGTAGGAGTGGGAGAGAGATTCTCTTATACTTCCTGACCTTATTTATCTCGACCTGGGATATGCAAAATGAAGTAGCAGATGGCAGTGGTATTATCCCCCCATGTGCAAACCTAGCCTTGACAGCCTCGTGGCTCTCGCCATGCTGCTTTGCGGCCTTCCAGCTTTGGGAGGGACTGTACCTATCAACTGGTGTGATGGGTGTTCCATGGAGCCTGTCTAATTTTACACCTTAGCATTAGACCACCCCTCTCCCAATGCAACAAGGCTAAACATTTCTTATTTCTCAAAGGAATTGGGGGTCATTAAGCTTCTTAGCTTTTAGTATGTTCACCTCTAATATTTTGTCCTGCACACTTAGGTGCCCTACACAAATCTGGGGGTGATGTTGGCAGACAACCCCATGAAAAACCCAAATCCCAAAGACAGGAATAGGGACCTGAAATGATGGGAACACGAGGGACCAGACCAATGTCAACGAGCAGACTGATCTTTAATTTGCTGAGCAGGGAGGCTTCTCTCCATGGTGGACATGGGCCACAGCTATTTCCACTGAATCACTATACAGTATTTACAGCAGGATGCTAGACACAGCATCAGTCTGGACAGATAAAGAAGCAGCAGCGAGGGAACACAGCTCTGAAATCCAAGTACAGGGAAGGGCAAGGGCCAGGTGATAAGAGAGGCTGGTGTGGTAGATATGAGGACGGAAGAGGAAGCAATCTGTGATGCAGAGATATGAAGAAAGAGTTCACTGGGACGTAAGTCTTAAAAGTTTGAATTATGCCAGGAATGGTGGCACACACTTGTAATCCCTCAGGAGGCTGAGGCAGGAACATCTGGGCTGCATATGAGATCCTGTCTCAAAAACACCCCCCCCCAATTATGATATGGAGTTTGAAGGAGAAAAAAACTTGCCAAAAGCATCCTCTGGGAGAAAAAAAGAAGGCAGAGTTTTATAAACCAAACCTGATACCTTCTCTACCAGAAAGTACCTTTGTTTAAATTCCTGGACAGGGGACTGAGGAGATAAAGTAAAAAGTATCTTAAATACACTTGGGACAATAAAATAAAGAGAGCCGAGAGAGATTCAGACAATGAGAGGAAAAGAACAAAAGCTTAGGCATATCTGAGCATCAGAATCATTCCATTGACGTCATCTGTCTTCGCCTCATCTTCCCCAAATCTCCCTAAACCCCTATATCCCGAGTTACAGTGAGGCCGGTACATGGGGGACGATCTAAGATCCCACTTCACCGGTTCAGGTCCCTTCCTTATCGTGTACCAGACTGTTACGGCTTGAGTCGTAACCAGGGATAGATTAGGGTGAGAAGTGACAGGATGGAGGACACAAGGCCACAAAGCCCCACAATCCCAGGGCCACAGCGACACAGGCCTAATTTGTCCAGTGGAATGAAGAGGTCACAGGCATTTCTGACCACATCCAGCAGAAGTGGGGGATGACCTCGAAGGACCCGAGCCAGGAGCAGGACTTGGAGCCGAAACTTCAGAGCTAGTTGAGGCAAGCCTCTTCCTGGACTTCCTGGTCCCCCAGGTCCCCCAGTTTCAAGTCCTCCCGGCACTCCTCCTGCAGAACCCTTTAGTCGCCGGTTACAAGCGGAAGACTCTTGTTCCATGAGTAGGCGAATTTCATAAGCATCTCGGCTCAAATTCATGATGAGGGAAAAGAGATAGTACCTAAGATGCACAGAGCAGAAGGGTTAGACAGGGCATATAAACCTACTTAACATATCCCATCTAATACTTATGATATTTTCCATGCAGTGCAAAGAGAATACATTAAAACACCGCAAGTGAATGTCTTCCCTTGCTAGGTGTTATGGTTTATATCTAGAAGTCCCCCCAAAGTCACAGGGGCTGGGGATTTAGCTCAGTGGTAACAGCCCTGCCTTGTAAGCGCAAGGTCCTGAGTTCGATCCCTGGTATTAAAAAAAAAAAAAAAAAAAAAAAAGTCATAGGTGAGGCCTCTGGAATGTGACTGGGTTATGGGGGCTTCTGGCTGAAATGGAGTCCGGTCAGAAGAGGTGATCACTGGGGGTATGGCCCGGAAGGGTTCATCTCCTCCCCAGCTCCTTCCTTCTCTGCCATGAGGTGAGCAGCTGTTCTTCCATCATGTCCCTGCCATAGCCTCCTGCCTTGGAAGCAAACAACCATGGTCTGAGACCTGAACCTCAGTAAACTTCTCCTCCTTTAATTTGTGGATGTCAGGCACTCTGTCTCAGTGATGAAGGAAATAAGACGCCAGGCATGACGGCACATGCCTGTATAATGCTAGCACTAAGGAGACTGAGGCAGAAGGATTACAAATTCAAGGGCAAGCTGGGGTCCGTAGTAAGACTCTGTCTCCAAAAATCAAAGGGGGAAAAATCCTTCCTTGAAGACATTATGCTGGGTGAAATAAGCCAGACACGGACAAATACCACATGATCTCATATGTGGGCGGCAAACAACCTAATTCATAGAAACACAGAATAGAAGTGATGATTAACCAGAGACTGAGGGTAGGAGAAAGGGGAAGACAACATCTGTCAAAGGTTTTAGATACTCAAAAATGCATAAATCCTGGAGATCTAACATACAGTATGGTGACTATAGTTAACCATACTGTATGGTACACTTGAAAATTGCTAAAGTAGAACTTAAGTATTCTCACAAGAAAAAAAGGCACCTGTGAGGTTATGAACTTGTTAATTAGCTTGTTGTGTTGATCATGTCATAATAGTACATATACAAAACGTTATACTATACTCCATAAATGCATACAATTTCTAATTGTCAATTATATCCCAGTAAGAATGAAAAAAAAGGCCTCCCACCCTTCATTTTTCATAATGAGGGTCTCATTATGCAATTCAGGCTGGCCTTGAACTCACTGTGTAGCCCAAGCCAGCCTCAAACTCATGGCAATACTCCTGCCTCAGCCTCCCAAGTGCTGAAAATACAGTGCCACCATGACTGGCTGAATCCACCTCTTTCTTTTTTTGGGGGGTGGGGTACTGGGGATTGAACTCGGGTCCTTGTACTTGCAAGGCAGGCCACAGAACCGCTGAGCTAAATCCCCAGCCTTTTAATCCACTCCTTTAGGAAAAAAATTTAAGAGACCCAGAGGTGTTCAGTAATTGCTAAATATGTTAGAACATAAATTCCTTAATTACAAAATCTGTCTTGTTTTCAGTGCTGAGGATTGAACCCAGGGTTTCACACATGTCTCAAAAAGCTCTACCACTGAGTGAAAACCCCAGGCCCTATGTTTTAATTTTTAATTCACTTTTACAACAGTGGTTGATAATCAATAAATTGTCCCACCTAAAAAATATACCCTGAATCCAGTTACATTTCTCTATTGCTCTCCACCACCACAGTTTAAGCAACTATCACTTCTTGCCTGGACTACTGTTTTTGCCTTTAACTGGTCTCACGTTGCTCTTAACTAGCCCATTTTGCTCCCATCGCCAATAATTTAATTTCATAAAGGAATCACCACAAAATAAATCACATTAATACTCCTGATTTTAAAACTTACCAGGGTTTCCTTCCTATCACGTTTAGAATAATACCTAGATACCTTCGACAGCCCTCCAGACCCAACACCATCTGGCCCCTAGCTCTCTGGGTATTGTACCATCCCTCCTCTTAATTGCTATGCTCCACCATGTTGGTTTCTTTCTACATTTTGACTCCATCAAGCTTTTTCTTACCTCAGAGCATCTGCACAGCCTAGTCCCTCTAATTGGAATCTTTTCCCTTAAAAACTTCACGTGGCTGGCTCTTTTTTCTTTTTCAAGTCTGAGCCTAAATATCACTTCTTCAGAGAGGCCTGCCATGACCCCTCAATTTAAAACAGTGAACTACTGGGTCCGGGATTTAGCTCAGTGGTTCTGCTGTCTGCCTTACAAGGTCCCGAGTTTGATCCCCGGTACCAAATAATAAATAAAAAATAAAACGGTGAACTATTTACTCTGCCCCACATGACTTTGTATCAATTTTCTTTTTTTTTTGGGGGGTTTTTTGAGACAGGGTCTCACTATGTAGTTGAGACTGACCTGGAACTCACTATGTAGCCCAGGCTGTCTCGAACTCACAGCGATCCTCCTGCCTCAGCCTGCCGAGTGCTGGGATTACAGGCATGCGCCACCACGCCTGGCTCAATTTTCTTCATAGCACTTGCCATGTCTGATATTCTTTATTGTCCCTTCTTGTTACAATGTAAATTCCATGGGAACTTCAGCCACTGTATCTCTGTGTCTAGACCAATGCCTATCTAATTTTTTTGGTACCGGGGATGAAACTCAGGACTTGGCACTTGCTAGGCAGGTGTAGTACCACTGACCTAAACCCCTGGCCCTCAATAGATGTTTCTGAATAAAACAAATAAAATAAATACGGCATATAGACTCTTCTGGGGAAATTGCTTTTTCATACCACTTCAGCTCTGCCACCATCGCCCAGTCCTCATACATCATAAGCCATATTATAGTTGTGACTCACCGAGAAAGATGAAGAGAAAAGTAAGGAATAAATGTAGATGGTAATATAATGAAAAAGTACAACCATAGGGAAACAAAAAAGAAATACAGGTAATCTGCACAGTCAGCCCTGGTAACTGAAGGGGACTGTTTCTTGAACTCTTCTCTCCACAAATACCAAAATCTACAGATGCTCAACTCCTGCATATAAAGTGGCATAGTACTTTCACATAACCAATGCATATCCTTTTATCTATTTCAAATGATCTCTAGATTACTGGTAATACTTATACGATGTAAATGTTATGTGAATGGTAGTTACATTGTTCAAGGACTATGACAAGAAAAAAGTCTATGTTCAATACAGAAGCAATTTTTTCTGAATACTTTCTGAATGTGGTTCATTAAATGTGCAGATATGGAAGAGGAGGGAAATTACAGGGCCAACTGTGATACCATTTTACTCCTAAATCATAGTTTTTTCCACTCTTTTAGTCCAGGCCAAGGGCATCTCCTCTTGGGCCCCCCTGCAATCCATTTTCCACATCATGTCACAGCAAGACAGATGTTCCTGTTTTTGTTCTTTGAGTTTTTTGCTTTTTGTTTTTAGGGGTTTTTTGCCATGCTGGTGTGGACTGAACCATAGCCCTTCTCATGCCAGGCAGGTGCTCTACCACTGAGCTACGTCTCCAGGACAAGATAGATGTTCTTTAAATATAATTTGAATTGTGCTATGTCCCTGGATAAAACCCTTTAGCAATGTCTCATTGTATTTAGGATAAAACTAACACAAAACAAAACAAAAATCTTACCATTGCCTAAAAAGCTCCACATAAATGATTTGGTCCCTGTCTTTCAAATTTGAATTTATGCCCTGTATTCAATTCCATCCATCACGTTTGGTTTCTTCCTACTTTTCTAATTACCTGAAGTCTTTCTTAGTTCAAGGCCTTAGAATGTGCTCTGTTTTTGTTTGGAAAGGTCTTATCTATTACTCTCTGTTTTGTCTAACTACTATTTCAGGTCTGAACTAAAATATCACCTTCTCAAAAAATTCTTCCCTGACCTTTCATTCTAAATTAGCTCCTCTTATTATAGTCTCTTATAATGATCTATGCTTTTCCACACATATATCTGAGTAGTTGTTTAACATTTCATCCCCCCACTAGACTGGAAGCCTCATGGGAATGGGCACCGTGTCTGTTTGGCTCTTTGCTTTATCCCCTGGTCCATATTAAGTACCTAATAAATGTTTATGGAAAAGCTGAGTGAGATGGTGGTGGCCCTTGCAAAGAGTCCCAGCTGCTTGAGAGGCTGAGCTAGGAGGACTGAATGAGGTCATGAGTTTGGAACTAGCCTGGGCAACATACTGAGGCCCAGCTCTTAAAATTTTTCGGATGAGTGAATGAATAAGCAAGCAGTGAGGGGAACACTTGTGGTACAGATAAAAGCTGAATTAAAGACAGAGCCTGTCTTATCTTGCCCCACCTTAGTCGTTCATCATGGTAGGGCACGTGTCTTTCATCTGTTCCTATTCATTACTCTGTGACAGATTAAGATCTAAATGAAGATTGGAAACTGAATGATTGCTTCAGACATTCACAGTTGCTCCTTGGTCTTCATCGGTATTGGTTCCAAGATCCCAATGTATACCCAAATCTTTCCAAAATTCACAGATGCTTATATCCTTTATATAAAATAATGTAGGACTGGAAATTTAGCTCAGTGGTGCCACCACCTACCTCACAAGCAGAAAGTCCTGAGTCAGATCCCCAGTACCAAAAAAAAAAAAAGTAATTGCATATTACCTACATACACCTTCTTATATAGTCTAAGTTATCTCTATATTACTTATACTACCTAGCATAATGTAAATGCTACAAAGAGTTGCTTACTATATTAAGGAATAATGAGAAGAAAAAACGTCTATACATGTTCAATACAGATGCAATTTCCCCCTAATATTTTCAATCGGTGGTTGGCTGAATCCATGAATGTGGAGCTCAGGAATATGGACGGCCAACTGTACACTCTGGGAAGAACCCGAGAGAGCTTTCTCTCAGAAAAGGCAAGCTACATTGTACGGAGGCTACAGAAGGTCTCATGGGATCAAAGGCTAACAAACCCAAAGCCAGGCGTGGTGGGCATACGTGAAATTCCAGCACTCAGGAGATTGCTGTGTCAGTTCAGTGGCAGCCTGTGCTACACCGTGTGTGCAAGGCCAGCGGTCTTACAAAGAAGCAAGACCCTGTCTCAAAAAATATATATAAATAAATAAAAAGAAAGGATAGCAAACCTGAATGAGCGCTGAGTCCACTTCTCCTGATCCACTCGGGGAGCTAGTCCAGACTTTCCAGCCCACAGGACATTGTCACATGCGAAATACAAGGCTCGATTGAGGTGACTAACAGTGATGCAGAATCTCAGGACAACATCGGATAAGTGCACAGCTCTTTTGGCGGACTCCAGAGCATCTGCTGAGTTGCCCAGGCGTAGAACTTGGGGAGATTAACATGAGAAAGCAGGGAATCAGAAGGAGAAAGGCACCGAGCACGATACAAAAGAAGAAAAGAAGGTGAAAGTGGAGCAAGTGATAGTAACATGAAGGCAAACAGACAAACAAAAAAGTTAGAAACAGTTCATTCTTTGCTTCACATTTTTAAAATTTATTTTTATTTTTTTGGTAATACTGGGAATTGAACCCAAGGCCTTTGATTGAGGTACAACCCCATCCCACCCCTCACCCCCCTTTGAGGCAGAGTCTTGCTATGTCTGGCCTCACACCTATCCTCCTGCCTCAGCCTCCTGAGTACTGCTATTACAAGTGTGTGCCACCATGGTCAGCTCCCAACCGTTTTTAAATTTTGTATTTTTGAGACAGGGTCTCACTAATCACTAAATTGTCTATCCTGGGCTCAAGCCTCCCATCTCAGCTTCCCAGAGTACTGTACTTCGAGCTCTAATTTGTATCCCAGTTTAGTTTTCTCAAACTTCCCTATTCTCTCCCATCATCCATTGCTCCCTTGTACCTGCGCTCTTGTCTTAACTGGAGGCGTACAGAGGATAAGCGTAGAGCCGAGTGAGAGCAAAGAACTGGTGGAGAGGGTCAAAACACGGGGAGGAGGGACAATGGGAGAACAGCCGGGGAGGGAAGAAAGACTAGGGTGACGAAAGGTGCAGTTACTTACGCTTTCTTCCAAGGCTCAGATGACTCTCCAGTTGTTGAATCTGTTTCTGTAAGTCAGGACTGGCCCCACGTCTCTGCAGGGCATGGCCAAGAAGGGAGCACGCGTACTGGGCAGCCCTGGAGGAGACAGGCAAAATATGGTGGTGACTTCCCTAACTGCCCCCCGCCCACATACCCTCCAAAAGACAAGGGTGGATTTTCTGTTTCCTCCTCTTCATGCCCGTATCTAACGCTTCTCCTCCAGGCCTGGGACAGGGAAGGGCATTAAAAAATAAAAAAGAGCCTGTACTGTAAAGGGAGTGGGGAGTATTATTTTTAGAGTTTCACAAAACGAGAAATTTGACAATGCTTAGGAATAAGGCGGCCAGTGAAGGCAACACGGTTCCATCACAAGCGCATCAGTCCATGATATGTGAAGGAGAGGGGTATGGCTGGAAGAGAGATTATTCCTCCGAATAGGTGAGCTAAGAAATTTCAAGGCCCTCGAGCTGAGCGGGGACCAAAAGAGTGCGGAGGCAGAGTTGCCGGCAGGTGACAGCAGAATGAGGGGAAAGGAAACTGGGAGCTTCTCCGCTCCGAGCAAAAAGTCCACGTCGCTATCCATGACTAACGCTCCTCATCCCACACTGCCTAGTCAGAAAACTGTTGAATATATGTGGGCACAGAAACCTTGAGTGGCCTCCCCGCTGGCCCACTCATGCCTCAGTTTCTCCATCTTTCCCGGGAGCAGAAAAGAATCATCACGACCGTTTCGAATCTGCGGCTCAGAGTCCGCACAGGCCCCCGTAGTCAGAGTTGACCCCTTTGGACCCCCGTAGCCCGGCTTGACCTCGCCTCGCAAGAATCTTCCTCTGCCCATCCCTGCTCCCTTCCCATTTGGGCCGCACCTACACAGCCGCTCCCGAGCTTGGCTCTGAGCACTGAAGCGGACCCAGGAGTCCATGACAGAGGCCGCCGCGCCTCCAGAGCCCCGCTCCCGCCCTACTTCCAGCCCCCAGTCACGCCTACTAGGCGAGCCAACGGTGCCTCGCGAGGGACAAACAGCATCAGAAAAGAAAAACGAGTGGACCGGATTCCGGAAAGCAGAGCTTTTAGGACGCGAAGCCCTTGTCTTTGGGTCCGCACTCTCGCGCTTTGTGCGTGGTCTGCGTCAGATTCCCTTATAAAACGTCTCTCCTAAACACGCCCTCATCAGTATATTCTGCTTTAAAAATTAAAGATTAAAGGCGGGGTCTGCAGGGGCGGAGCAAGAAAGCTCCGCAGTGAGCTCCACGCCCCGGAGGCTGGGATCGGGTTCATCTAGGGCGCGCCCCGCCGAACTCCCACGCCGAGCGCGCGCGCACCGCTTGAACCTTCGGCTCTTGGCGCTAAAGGGATTTTAAGCAGTTGAAGCCCGAAGCCCAGACTAAACTGTGCAGGATTGGCACCACTTTTCTGTTTGGTGATCTCCAGCATAGATGGAGCGTCTACAGGCAGAAACTTTAATGGACGACATTTGCAGTAACCGGCTTCAAATGTTAAAAGGAAAGCGGAGAATCCGCGGCCGAAGCTAAGCGCTTCGCACCACTGTTCGTCCTCCCCGCTCTCTCCTTCTAGGCCACCATGTCTGCAGGCGATGGCACCGCGTCGGGGTCAGCGGTCGGGGAGGAGGTCTGGGCGGGATCGGGAGTGGAGGTGGAGGGCTCAGAGCTGCCCACCTTCTCAGCCGCAGCCAAAGTCCGAGTAGGAGTGACCATTGTGCTCTTTTTTTCTTCTGCTGGAGGAAACCTGGCCGTGCTGTGGACAGTGACACGCCCGCAACCTAACCAGCTCCGTTCCTCTCCCGTCCGGCGACTTTTCGCCCACTTAGCAGCTGCGGATTTACTGGTCACTTTTGTGGTTATGCCCTTAGATGCTACTTGGAATATTACTGTTCAGTGGCTGGCTGGGGACATCGCGTGTCGAACACTCATGTTCCTGAAACTAGTGGCCATGTACGGTGCAGCTTTCCTGCCAGTGGTCATCGGGCTCGACCGCCAGGCAGCAGTACTCGAACCACTTGGACCCCGCTCAGGTGGAAGGAAAGTTCTGGGGGTGGCCTGGGGTCTTAGTGTCCTGCTCGCCTTGCCCCAGGTGAGTGATTTGGGACTCAGGCTTGGGCTGGACAGGAATTTGGTTACAGAATGTGAGTCCGGGGAGTCCGTGGAGTTGGCCGACAGTAGCCAGTAATCCTGGGCAGAGTGCCTCTGCCGTCCCGAGGGCAAGTTAAGGTCATTTGCACGTTAATTTACGTTTGAAAGTCAACAGTACTCTGTTACCTGTGCTTCTTCCTTTAGATTTGCTTTACTGTGCATGGCTTCCACCTCTTTTCCTGCTCCCAGTCCTACCTTCAGGAGATTGGTGCAGAAAGACCAGGGATAGGAGGAAACAGGAGTTTTACTAAGAGAGTGAAGGGGCTTTGGTTAAAACTTTGGGGCATATTTACTTATTAAAATAACGTGAGTCCTCCCCAGGTACACTGGAATGCTAAGGCAGAGCAGCAAAGCCAAAAGAGAAACGTGTAGACTAGTGCAGGAGACAATTAGGCACCTGGAGTATCACGAGTGGTCCAAGTATTATCCTAGAGGTAAGGAGTTAATAAACAGTGGAGGATTCTGACTCACTCTTGGCGTCAGGGAAAGCTTCCCAGAGATGTTAAAATCTGATTTTTTAAAAAATTTTGACTCATTTATTTATTTGGTACCAGGGACTGAACTCAGGACCTTGCACTTTCGAGGCAGGCGCCGTGCCACTGAGCTAAATCCCCACCCCAACATCTGATTCTTGAAATACAGAAAGATGTAAAACAAGTTAAATCAGGAGTAATGCTGGGAGGATAGAGTCTGCGTAGCAACCTTGCTACTGATGTTGAAGACTAGAATATGGTGAGTAATGAGCAGGGAGGGAAAGGGTAGGCCAGATCCCAGATGTAAGTGTGTGTTTTAACTTGAGAGTATGCAGGCACACTAAGGTTAAGTGGTGAAGAGCGACATCATCAGTTTTGTCTTTTCTACTCTGACTTTATTGTAGAATGGGTGTTAACACTGGAAACAAGGGAGCACCTGAACTTTAATACTTGTTATTCAAGTTGCTATACGGAAAAGGGACTAGAGTCTAGAAGAAAAGATAACTGTAGAACAGTATTTTAAAAAAACCAAAACATTACCAACATAGAGCAGCATATTTTGGGATAGCAAGGATTAGGGTTATGTCTGGAAGGAGGCCAAGAAGGGTCTATGATTTCAGTGTGTGGAATAATAATGCAATATATTCAATTGCTTTAGATTTGATCCTTAGGGCTGGGGTTTAGCTCAGTGGTGCCACCACCTGCCCCATGAGCTTGATCCCTGGTAATAAAAAAAAAAAAAAATTGATCATTAAATCAATTAGAATTTAACTATGAAAACTCTGACTATAGCCAGGCAAAGTGGAATATATTTATAATTCCAGCACTTTCAGAGGCTGAGGCAGGAGTATTCCAAGTTTGAGTGTAGCCTGGGCAACTTAGTGATTTAGCGAGACTAAAACAATATAATAAAACATTTATTATGTATATTCTATTCTTTGAGTGTTATGAACAGGACCTCTACCAATACAAGTGAAAAACATAAATAAAAAAGCCTGTTGCCACAGTGCAATAGGAATCACAGTTGGGTTTGTTTAAATGAAGCAGATTTTAGATGTACATTGAGAATTGAAAGACTTTTTGTTGCATTATTTGACTTAGTATGTTTTGTTTCATACTAGACCAGGTGCATTCAGAGCGGTATGGCTAGAGACTATTTTTTTTGTGTGTAGGCCATACCACTAACTCATAGCTTTGGTTAAGTCATTTAAATCCATGATAATTTCTTATTACCTGGCATTATTATCTGATATTAATTGCAACCTCTGTAGGTCTCAATGGCAAACTGGTCATAACAAGTATATGTGCAAAAGGTGACATATCTTTGGTTCCCAATTAGTATCTTTTTGGATGGATTCTGCATTGCCATATGCTGTTAACTGTATTTAAAATATTACTGTCAAGTAAAAATATCATGGTCTCAGCAGCATCAAACCTGCCTGTCAAGAGCAAGATCTTGAGTTCCATCCCTGGTACAAAAAAAAAAAAAAAAATTATGGTCTCATATAAGTGTGACAAAGGAGTATCAGGAATGGTCAGAAATTACTTTTCTTTTTTTGTGATACTGGTTATTGAACCCACAGCATCAAACATGCTAAGCAAGCACTCTTATCACCAAGCTACATCCCAGCCCTAGAAAGTACATATTTTTGTAGGCTGGTTTTTCTAAGTTAGCAATATTTGAAAGGACAGTTCCTCCTGTAGGTGGTTAAGTTCTATATAAAATAGAAGAGGAGGTAGATGCAAGGCTATGGACCAAACTTGAAGTCCAAAGGCTTTTAATTATTTTTATACTCCTCATAGTTCTTAAGTACTTCTAGACATAATGCAAAAACAAAAATAAATGTCCAGAAATATATGGATACAAGGTAGGTGAAAAGACTACTCCCAACTAATTCAGGTGGCCTGATCATATCGCAAAGTAGTCTGTGGCATTGTCTTTAGCTGATCCTATTCTCCTTTTTTATTGTTGTTTGTTTTGTTCCAGGGATCGAACTCAGCTCCTTGCACCTGCAAGGCAGGTGGTTGAACCACTGAGCTAAATCCCCAGCCCTCTATTCACCTTTCTTAAAAGTCTCTCACACTTGCCTTTCTCAAGTGCTTATCTGGGAATCTGACACCTCTATATATATACCTTTTACCAAATTAATGGTGATGTAATCTTCATTACTAGAACCATGGCATTCTATGTAACCCTATAACTCTAAATTGAAAAATGCTCCAGGGTGGGGGATTTAGCTCAGTGGTTCCGTCACCTGTGTTGCAAGTGCAAGGACCTGAGCTCAATCCCTGGTACCAAAAAAAAAGAAAAAGAAAAATGCTCCTGATTCAATCCAAAAACCCAAAAATTTAACAGTAAGGGGAAGGGATATCCAATAGCATTTGAAAATGTTAAATTTTATTATTCTACCATTATAGTTACTATACACAACACCATTATGAAAGGTCATTCAAGTAGCTGCAAAATGGCCTGAAATTTTAACAGTGCCTATTTTATACAAGATTTACCCCATATTATTTAGCAGATATATTTACCAGGAAAATCATTTCAATTAAATGGATGAAACAGTGGAGACATTGTCTTTTTGGTTTTGTTTTGTTTTTCTTGGTGCCAGGGATCAAACTCAGGACCTTGTGCTTGCAAGGCAAGTGCAGCACCACTGAGCTAAATCCCTGGGGAGACATTATTTTTTATGAAATGCAGTGTTAGAATCTGAGAAGACGGAGTATTTTTTAAGTTCCAGGATTTAATGAACTTCAATCTTTGCACCATATTCAAGCCTGAGGGCAAAATACACATTTTCAAGATACACTGCTCATCTTAAAGTAGCGGTATGAGCCAGGCGTAGTGCCCCATGCCTATAATCCCAGCACTCAGCACACTGAAGCAGGAGTTCAAAGCCAGCCTGAGCTACACAGTGAGCTGTCTCAAAAAGCCAAAAGTAAATAGACACGGATCTGCACTCCCCCACGTGGAATTAAGGGTGAATTGGGAAGAGACATGGTGACATGAATGGGTAATGTTGGAGGGTTCGGGACTCAGTTCTAATAGCCTGAAATCCACTCCAGCTGTTCCTGTTCCATACTGTCCGTCGAGCTGGCCCAGTCCCTTTCACTCAGTGTGTCACCAAAGGCAGCTTCAAGGCTCGATGGCAAGAGACCACCTATAACCTCTTCACCTTCTGCTGCCTCTTTCTGCTGCCACTGACTGCCATGGCCTTCTGCTATAGCCGCATTGTCCTCAGTGTGTCCGGTCCCCCGCCCAGTAAGAGGAGCCAAGGTGAGAGTCTAATTCCCAGGCCCTAAGCCTTACCCCAAGTGCTGCACCTAGCATCATTCATCTTATAGCTGTTAAGTCACAAAAAGTGAGATGATAGCCATATCTCTAGCGCCTGATGCTACATATAATTTTATTAAATGCCTTCGGTTCTAAATTACCTATAGCTATGTTGAGTAAGCTGGGCAAGGCTTAGTGAGAAAGGGAATCATATTCTCCTTTATTCTTGGACACCATCAAGTCTTAGACTTGGTGACTTTATCTAATATAACATTTTAATTAAAACCTCTTCTCCATCATGTCTCTCTTCATTATGTTGGGGGCAGGGGATTATATAGTCCTAGGTTGGGAAGGAAAAAACGGGTCTGCAGCATTCTTGTAGGGGGGGAGCTCCTCCTCACTGCCTCTGCCCCCCATCAAGTCACCCTATACTTAGTTCAGAAGCTGAGTGGTCCTAAGTTTGGATGTACTTTTTAAATCCGCAGCCCCTGCCGGTGAATTTAACCTCTGGCGCTCCTTAGACACTCGCCCCCGAGTTCGTCTTCGGGCCCTGCGCCTGGCCCTCCTTATCTTGCTGACCTTCGTGCTCTGCTGGACACCTTATTACTTACTGGGTCTGTGGTACTGGTTCTCCCCCACCATGCTGAGTGAAGTCCCTCCCAGCCTTAGCCACATCCTTTTCCTCTTTGGCCTCCTCAACGCTCCTCTGGATCCTCTACTCTATGGGGCTTTCACCCTTGGCTGCCGAAGAGGGCACCAAGAACTCAGTTCCAACTGCTCTGGGAAAGGAGCGTCTGGGAGGACGTCCCGACAGGAGAGTCAAGCCCCCAGGCAGCTAGAAGTACAAACAAATGTGACACGCAGAGAAGGAGAAACACAAGAGACATTCCTGTAACATCCATCTGCTCACAACACGGTACGGGTACACAGACTATTCTCTAACATCCTAAGAACATCTGTTAACCTTGCTTTTTTAATTATCAAGAAAATGAAATACTAAGCAGAATCTTTAACCCTGCTGAGACTTGGAATGATGGCGAAGGCAGAAACTCACAGAACCTAGTTCCTGGCAGAAGCATCTTCACAATGACCCATACGGCCTTACTGTAAATAACGTTTCAAAGCTTTTGTTAGAACGAGAAAGTAATTTTAAATGTAGAAAACAAATCATTTATTAATAATTCAAAAGAAACAGTACACAGATAGGGGTTAAGAGATTAAATACAAACAGTTCCACCCAGCTGTAGTTCTCCACGGCTGCATGGCCGGATGGAATCTTGGAGAGACCACCTGGACAAGAGGAACCGTCAGCGGCGCCTCCGGTCTGGGCTCCTGCTGCGTCTTCGGCCACCTCTACAGAAAAGGAAAGAGGAGGGAGGGAACTCAATCAGAGGGACATAAAATACTGCCTGGTTCTGTTTCACTCCTACTCCCTTCACCAGCATACTGTTTCCCCTCTCCGCTTCACCTTCTCTTGCCCTTGGGTGGACCTCGAACAAAACACCAGTCCACGCTGATCGGCTGTCCCATCAAATCCTGGCCATTAAGTCCCTCCATAGCAGCCTGGGCCTCTTTGTATGTTTCATACTCAACCAGAGTATATCCCTGGGACGAGAAAAGACATGTCAAAACCCTCCGGTATCACCAAGCATCCACTACCCTCATGCTCAAATCTAAACGCATAAACAGAAAAAACCTACAAACTGCGCAATGAATGTACATTAATCACCTAGCCCTACTGTACACACAATGCGTCTGTTTTATTTGTGTCTTTCCTGTGTCCTAACAAAATCAGATTCAAATGTTATCTTATTTCAACTTGGTTCCTGGCCAATCACAGCAAACACATGACAACCACCAATGCTATGTTAGGATTAAGGGGGAAAGGAAGGCAACCAAGTGTCACTTCAGATACCTTCAGGTATCCTGTTCGCCTGTCTAGGTTCAAATGGATGTTTTTGATTTCCCCATATTCTGCGAATTTGTCATGGATGTCTTCTTCAGTGGCTTCCTCGTGGACTCCAGTGACAAAGAGAATCCAGCCTTCCACGGCTGTTGGAGAAGGGAGGGTGGTTAAATGAGAACGTGAGAAAAGCTCCAAGCAGGGTACAGGAGTGCAGGGCATGCAGACTCGAGCGAGTCCTCTCCGACCCCACTCCTCCTGGGTTTACTGGTCTCTGCCTACAGAGACGGATGCTCCCAGACTCTACTGCACTCACAGCGCTGTGGTCCAGGTTCATCGCCATCCTGCTCCACACTGTCATAATCCTCACGCATCCGCGCTCGGGATCCCTCTTCTGCAAGGAACACACACCGTATCACCAAAAACTCTTCCTCTTGCCCACGGTTCCCCGTAAGTTGGGTAGTGACTCCAAAATTCACAGCTCCCACCCTATTAGAACATTCTCCCCCATTCCCACACTCACCAGAGCCAAAGCCACGGCCCTTCCGTTTCTTTGCTTTTTCTTTCAATTTGTGGATGCTCTCTGGAGCCCCGAAAGAGAAAAGAACAAACGAGTAACAAACATAAGTCTTTTTTTTTCCTCCCCATTTGATACTGGGGATACTGGGAATTGAACCCAGGAGCACTCTACCACTGAGCTGTATCCTCAGCCCTTTTTATGCTGGGATGGGATCCTACTAAACTGCCGGAGCTGGTCTCAAATTTGCCATTCTCCTGCCTCAGCCTCCTGAGTAGCTGGGATTACAGATGTCCACCACCATGTTTGCTATATATAAATATATATAAATTATATATATATTTTTTCTTTCAGTAGGGGGCTTTAAACTCATGGCCTGCCAACTGAACTACATCCCCACTCCTTTTTATTTTTGAGTCTCGCTAAATTGCTCAGGCTGTATTTGAACTTGAGATCCTCCTGCCTCAGCCTCCCAGTGTGCTGTAGCACTACGCCAGGCTCTGAAAGTAATTTTTAACAATTGCCTCTTTCCCAAAACACCAGCACCAAACGTATCCTTTGCTTTCAGCTTCAGTCCCCTCCCGGTCCCGCCCCTAGTCTTTCCTAAGGGGCGGAGTCTCTAACCGAGCCCCAGTCTCCCGGCTCCCATCCACCCCGCCCGGGAAAATTTTTCCTATTACGCTATTCTCTCGCACCTTCCCCGCTTCCCGTAGCCGCCTCCACTGTCCTCACCGTCCCCATCCTCATCCATGGCGAAATCCTCGCCCCCAGCCTCGTGAAGATCCAGCACGTCGGCCATCTTGCTCCGCACGAACTCTCTTCTCTGTAGCTTACAGACTAGCACCTCGGGAAACTGTCGCGGAGGGGAAAGGTCGCCAGTGAAATCGCCCAATCAAAGGCTAGCTCTAAGGCCCGCCCTCGACGCAGTAAAAGTACGCATCAGAAGGCGGACCTATTTAAGAAAGCTGCCGGAAGTACTGCTGTAGCCATATTGAGCAGGTCGCGATAGAGGGAACCTAGGAGAGTGGGCGGAGTTAAGGGCTTTCTCTTCAATACCTGTGGCAGCTCCAAAGAAATATTAGCAGTGACATCTAGCTTGGTTTCCTCATTAGACGACTGCTTTCCTGACCCTCTTCACTTAAAACTAGGTTGTAGAAATTAAAGTTTCATTTTTAAATCTCAAAATTTCTAGGCTTGGTTCTGTATTCCAGAGAGCAAATCTACCTGTGGCAGAAGTATTAAAAAAAAAAAGTGCTCCTCCCCAGCACTGGGGGTGGGGGTTGCAGTCGGCAGTGCTGGCTCAAAAAAGCTGCTTCTGTAACATACTGGAGCATCAATTTCTCTCTTAAGAAAACTCACGGACCTAATTGCCTTTGAAATTCGGTGGGTGAGAGATAACAAACTTTTAAAAAAATGTATCTCAAACTCCTTAACACCTCTAGGAACTAGGGGTAGGGGAGTCTGCTCTTAAAATAGTGGCTCTAGGTTCTTTGAGGATGGTGCAGATGTTTCATGTTCTAAAAAACCTACAAGCCAGGCGTGGTGGTGCACCCCTGTAATCCCAGCACTCAGGAGGCTGAAGCAGGAGGACTGCTGTGAGTTCCAGGCCAGCCTGAGCTACACAGTGAATACAAGACCAGCCTGAACAACATAGCGAGGCCCTGTCTCAAAAAATAAATAATAAATAAATATTTAAAAACCCATGAATTGGGTTGTCAGGCGTGGTGATGCATGCCTGCAATCCCAGTGCTGTCAGTAATCCCAGTGCCGCAGACTGAGGAATTCCAGTGAATTCCAGTGAATTCCAGACCAGCCTGGACAAGACCCTGTCTCAAAAATAAAAAAACAGGGCCGGGAATGTAGTTCAGGAGTACAGTGCCTGCCTGGCAAGCATGAGGCCATGAGTTTGATTCCTGGTACAAAAATAAATTTTATTATTTTGGGAGGGTTGGTTTGTTTTTGGTACCGGGTATCAAACTCGGGTCCTTGCTAAAAATAAATTCCAAAAAACACACCTATGAGTTGGGCAGCACTCACATTGCCCCCATGTTCTGCAATCGTGATTTAAACCTTCAACGAGGGTGGGCTGTGGGCTAATCAAATAGTTATGATGCCTGTGTGGGTGCCTAATACCAGAAAAAGTGCAAGATATAAAAGGATAAATAATCACATTATCAACACCACACCTAGCTTAGACTGATTTTTTAAACAAATTTACATTAAATGGAAATTTTAATACCACAAATGGAAATCATTATTTTTCTACCACAGATTCAAATGAACACATAAACACTAAAAAGTGACACCTATCACCTAAAATCACCTCAGTAATGTCAATGGTTTACAAATAAAACTTTGGGAAATGCTGCAGAAGATAAAAAGACCCAAGTGAACGTTTAAGCAAGGGAGTAACACAGTAATAGGTATTTTAAAAAGAAGTGACATGGACAATATTAAGAATGGAAAAACTAGTTAAGAAGCTATTGTAATGGTCCAGTCCCTATATTAGGAAGAACTGAACTAAAGCAGTGTATACGGACAAAACAAATTAGAGAGTTTATATAAGAGGTCTGCTCAAAAGGAAGTGACTAGACGAAGGCTGCGCAGAGTTGAGAACTGATCTAAAATTTGTGGCTTCGATGCAGATGATTCCAATTAACAGATTTAGGGAGTCATAGAGGAGTACAGACAAATGGCCTTTATTTTGGATATGAGACTTCACAGTGCTTTCTCACATGCACACGGTTAGTAATGTCCAGCATGTGAAAAAATACAAGGGGTGGGTGAGAAAAACGTATGGTGAATGTTTAGATTTTCAAAAACTTATTTTTACTATTTATTTATTTAGGGGTTTTTTGAGACTAGGTCTCACTGGGTAGTTCAGGCTGCCTTGAACTCATGGCAACCCTTCTGCCTCAGCCTCCTGAATGCTGGGATTACAGGCATATGGCACCAGGCCTGGCTTATTTTTAAAAATGTATTACAATGAAAGTCACATTGCTATTAGTCTTCCTCAAAATACTTTGCCTTTTTTTAAGCACACTTATTCCATCATTCCTGCCACTTTCGTTCTTTCATTGCTCTTTTGTTTGTTTTATTTTTTGGCAGTACCAGGGACAGAACTGAGGACCTTGGACTTGTAATGTAGGCATGGTGCGACTGAGCTAAATCTCCAGCCCTTCTTGCCACTTTCTGAAGCAGTTCTGGTAATCATATTTCATAAGTATTTTTATGAGTTGTGATAAAAAATATGGGGAATGCTGTTGCCCAGTGCCATCCAGAGAAAAGGCAGGTTTAGAAAACCTTGTTCCCCACTTCTGGCACTGTGAGACTTCTGTTTTTTCCCCAAGTTAAAATCACCATGAAAGGCAAATGTTTGAAATTGATTCAGGACACTGAAGCAGCCGTGAAAGCACAATTAATGAGACTCATAAAAAAGGAGTTCCAGAACTGCTTCAGAAAACAGCAAAATTGATGGGATAAAGTGTGTTTGAAGGAAGAGGGAATGTTCTGAGGGGATTAATGGATATATGTCTTTTCCTACAGGTTTTAAAGATTTTTAAATATTCACTGTATTTTTCCATCATGCTGTGTTGATGCAAGAGCTCAAAATAAATTGGAATGGAAGAAATAGGTTTGACAATTGTGTGTGTAAAGGAGTTTAAGTCCACATCATGGGTGAAGCCAGCACACTGGGATGAGAAGGATCCAAGGGCAAAACCCTTAAATGTCTGGAGAAGGGGAGGCAGGCTGCCTTTGCCTAGTGACCTGCAATCTTATTTCTACCACCCACGAAATATAATAAAACGTTCTTGTTTTGTGTATGTGTAAAGGAATAGAGCCATTTTAGAGTTCCTGTAATACATAGGTCTCAAGAAACAGTCATTCTGGACAAAAATCTATTTTTAATTGTACAAAATTATACATATAAAATGCATAAAAAGTACTAAAAAGAGAAGTAAAATCATCAACACCAAGAGCAGACAGATCAGGGAACAATTTTTCTCAAGTTCTTTGGGATCTTGGGTAATTGAGAAAAATGATAAATCTTGGAGATTCAAGGACATGTCTTCTCACAACTAACACTTCCTAATAATTGTTTCCCAGAGGAAGCACCGTAGAAACTAGAGGGCCTATGATTTCTGGGTTATAAATACCAATCAATAAAACAGATAGATGCACCTATTATTTAATGTAGCTTCCTCTACTCCAACCTACGTGTGTTCCAAAGAATACAAAGACGGGGCTTAGAGAACCAAGGAAGCCTCTTTTAAACACCACTACAATTGTGGATAGACTCATTTCTGATCCCATATGTACTAGTCACCAGATGGTTTCAAAAGCAAGAAAATTCCCTTTCATCTTGCTCCTATCTAACCCAAAACAGTAAATTATGGTCTCTTTCTTAGTCTACTTCTAAAAGCAAATAATGCAATCGCTAAGTGGAAAGTCCAATCGCAGGAGCGTTAGACTTCCCAAACTCAGTTTAGAAAGTGCACTGAACAATAATATAGTGTAATGGAGATTACAGAAACAAGGGGAAAATACACTTTACTACATATAATTCTTCAAAAAAAAATCTCTGAGGGAGAACTTTGTAGTTCTACTGCAGATAATTTCTTACTCCACCCAAGAGAAAAGCGGAGGAGAAGAACCATATGAGAAACACATAGACCAGATCACTGCTCTCTTCCCTTTCTTGCAGTTTCCCAAAGTTCCAATGAGGAAGTCGCATAATACCAGTTTCATCTAGTTTTCCTAAGTCATGCTAAATAATGAATGTGGAGAAAAGGGAAGAAACAGATGAAAATCTAAAGTAGCACACATGCATGTAAAGTATAAACAGCAGCAACTTAGTGGAAGTGAGAGGAGCTTGGCCCTTACTTGCCACGTAGGATAGATATTGCTTCCACAGAGCAAAATGATGCGGCAGGGTGGGAGGCTGTGGGCATTTTATCTCCTACCAAGCTCTGCGGGCCAGAAGTTTAAATATGAGGCTTAATTGAGCTGGGTGAGCAGGGGAGAAATGAAAAGGGAAAGCTGAATGCCAGCATCAAACTTGACCTCGCTCTTTATATAGAGTCCACTTAGCACACTGGAATGGTATAGATAAGCCTCAGAATCAACTTCGATAGTGACCTCTGTGAATTGTTTATAATTCCTCTCTTGTTCCTGGGCAGTTTCTCAGCAATTTAAGAATAAGAAATGATAGCTCTACAATCTTCTGGGTAATAAGGTAAGAAAGCCTTAAAATAAAGAAGCATACGGAGGCAAAGGAGGAGTAAGGACGTTAGAGGGGAAAGAAAGGATACGATGCAGACCCAGCTCGAGATAAGCCAAAGCCAAAGGCTTCTTACACATACCCTGTTTGAATGCGACAGAAAGCAAGGATGAGGTTGAGGCTGGGGCGTACAGTCATCCAGCCCACCTGTTCTTTTAAAAGAAGGAGAAAGCACATGAACACAGTCAGTCAGAATGACTCGCAGACTTCATCTAGAAGTCCAAGAGTCAACAATGCTCCAGAGTCCACTCTTTCTTGTAAAGTGGAATGGAGATGTTTCAGGTGAGACTACATCCGAAAACTGGAAGTTAGAAAAGGGATCTCTTAGCAAATAGGAATCCAGGTATAGAAGTTATACATATATTTTTTAAAGTATAAAATTGAGAAATTATATACAGAAATCATCCTAAGTCTTAGAAAGGAGACATACAAAGAGGGTGCGGCGAGGGTGGGGAGTTTGTGGGAAGTTTTGTGCCTAGCAGTTGGAGGAATGCATATTGCCCAACTGCCCAGCAGCCAGCATGAGAATATCTTTCTTCTCCTTGTGGAAGCGCAGCTCCTTGCCTGCCAGTCGAGCTTCGTCCAGCTCCCGTTCGGTGGAGGCCAGCTCTCTAGACAGTGCCCCCGGCACACTCTGCTCCCGGCTCACCCAGTCCAAGGCCATCTGGTGGCGAATATCATCATCCAGGGCTCGGTGCGAGTAATGAGCCAACACCTCCTAGTTGGGGAGGGGAACGTGAAGATCACTGCGAGGGTAAAGGTTCGTGTCCTACCACAGGGATCCAACTGGGTGGAAGCCGGTACTCGAGGCCTCCGAGTCCTAACTCGAGTCCTAACAAGTCGGCAGCGGCCTTCCAAGGAGATTCTTAAGGGAAACTCCCTGGTGAGGAAGCAAGGCACGCAAAAGTATCCCGGTGAAGATTTAAACAGGGAAGATTATAGGGGTGGAGGGTGCCCTCAAGTAAGGCTTTCAGTATTTATAACCAGGAAACCATGCGCGTCCTTGTTTCTAATGTAACAGCTAAGCTACCTCGAAGTAGTCCGTCCACGCTATTCTCATAGCCCATAAAATCTCTTACCTGCCGAGAACACTGTCTTTCCCTCATGGCCTTAAGGCTGCCATTCCAGTGCAGCAGTTGAAAAACTGTCATTAGCTCCTGGGGGAAGAAGATATAAAGTAGCACGACAATGATTTCTATATTGGAGACTGTATCAGAATCACACGGAGAAGTTTTTACAAAGTGTGTCTCCAGAAGTATCTGAAATCCCCAACTTGGATAGGCCCTTGGAGAAAGGAACGTATTTGGATGTCGAAAAATATTCTAACATCCTTCTTCCCTTTCTTTTTCGGTATCAGCGACTTAGAAGGTACCGGGCTGACCCACTTTGTCAGAGTCAGGGGAGCAAGTGAACAGTACCTGGAACTCCAACATTGACTTGCCCTTGTTGGATTCCAACATGAATCGGAAGGCACCAATCCCTGTATTTGGGTTGTCAGCTTCCTCCCTGTTGCCCTGGAAACAGAGGACCAGAAAAGACAAATAGATTTTCAATCACCATTATCACAGAAGCAACACTATCTGGTGAAAAGATGTGAATCACGTTTAAATTTTCTAGTTGCCACTGTATAATAAAAATAAACAGATAAAATTAATTTTTAAAAACATAACCTTAACCAAATATATTCCCAAGATTACCTTTTGACTGTTGTCAGTATAAATGTTTTGGTTTTTTTTTCCAGTACTGGGGATTGAATCCAGTGCCTTCTCACTGACATACATTCCTAGCCCTGTTTTGTTTTTAGTTTTCTGAGACAAGTCTATGTGGTTCAGGCTGGCCTTGAACTCAGTGTGTAATCTAGGCTGGCCTCAAATTTGTGGTGATTCTCCTGCCTCAGCCTCCCAATGCTAGGATTACAGATCAGCCCCTTTTAAAAATTTTTTTTATAATGAGACAGAATATTGCTAAGTCAGTAAGTTTCTCAGGCTGGGCTAGAATTGTGATCCTCTTGCCTCAGCCTCTCCGAGTGCTGGAATTACAGGTAGTATCACTATGCCTAGCTCAGATTTTCCCTATTTTACACATGGGAAACACTAAGGCACAAAGAAGCACTCTGATTCACCCACAATAAAAGATTGAGTTAGGTATACAGGATCAGACCAGCTTGGAGGACAACTGAGCCTCTGAAAGGGAAACAGTGGGAGCCATAAACATGGGGAAATCTCCATTTGCACCTCCTGGACATTTGCCTAATGTGTCTTCTATTGGTTACAAGACTTTACAGGAATGGGCTAAGACATAATGTCCAGCCTGCAAACCTAGAATGTGCAAACAACAATCCGATGTAAAAGTTAGGAGCATGGACGGGAACTCCTGTTAGTCACCTGGCCTTTGGGAGTCATTTAATGTCTCTGTTTCTTAGTTTCCTCATCTGTAAAATAAGACTAATCATAGACTTACCTTATAGGGTTGTTTTGAGAATTAAATACATTTTCTAAATTAAGAAAAAATTAGTGAGATACATGTCACCTAAAAACCAACCATATAAAATATAGGTGCTCTGGTGTCTAGTTACACAATTCAAATCCATTCTGGGACTGGTGATGGTTTGGTGACATTTGGTAGCGGTTTTCTCTCTGGCTTAATTATTGGGGATAATTCCAGAGCATGGAGCAGGCTAGAGATTGCAAAACTGGTTTACTAGTGACCCTTTTGTCAACCTGACCTGAATAGAGCCAAGAAACTACTGGGAACAGCAGGACCCAACTTTCTCAGAAGTTGCCTGCTCTTTCTAGCCAGTTCCACACAACCCAACATGCCAAGGTAAGAACTTTCTTCTGCATTCTTTGAAAAGTGTACTGGCTAGAGGTCAGGAGCCAACCAGGCCAAATCCAAATTCAGTTTTGTTGTAGAACACTTTTCATGGGGTTTTCCTGTGTGTTTAGCACACCTAAAATAATGGCAAGTACTTAATAAGTACACTGCAAATGTTAGCTTATTATTATTATTTATTGTTACTGTGATAGAATCAACCAGCAGAAGTTCTAAAGATAAACTCATATTATCTTGTGGCTCATGAGAAACAATCATAGCACAGATGTAGTTAATTTTTGTGGTGAATCAAAGTCACAAGATTTGGATTTAGAAGAAAAAGTTGGAGAAGCTTTTTTATTGGAGTGGGGGTGCAGTTGAGACAGGGTCTTGCTATATAGTTCAGGCTGGTCTTGAACTCACTATGTACAGCATGGTCTCAAACTAGCAGTGATCCTCCTGTCTCAGCCTTCCAAGTGCACGGATTATAGGTGTGCACCACCACGCCCAGCAGCTGGAAGGGTTTTTACCGGAAGGAATAAAAAAACAATTTTCAGCCAGGTGTGGTGGCACATGCCTGTAATCTCAGCACTCGGGAGGTTGAGGCAGGAGGATGGCTGTGAGTTTGAGATCAGCCTGGGCTACATAGTGAGTTCCAGGTCAGTCTCAACTACATAGTGAGACCCTGTCTCAAAAAAACAAACAAACAAAAAAAACCCAATTTTCAAAATTAGGTTTTAGGATTCTGAAGCAAAAACACTTTCATTTTTACTAGTAATTCTTTGACATGATAGTTTACTTAGTGAGTTCCAAATGTTTCCATGATATGGCATATAAAACAATGATCAGGGCTGGGGATTTAGCTCAGTGATTCAGCCGCCTGCCTTGCAAGCACAAAGTCCTAGGTTCAATCCCCGGTATAAAAAAAAAAGATCATATCTGTATAGCCAAGTGGGATATACCACCAGAGTGATTGCAGGCAGAGAAGGCCATCTGCCCCAGGCCTTCCTCCAACTTCTGAAATTGAGGGATTCAGTAACGTGACACACCTAAAATTTATCACATACCAGAGTGGCAAGACCCATCAGTGAGGAAGTTCTGCACCCTGTACACCTCCACACCTACCACAGGTAAACCAACTCCATTTATCAACATTTACTCAAGCAATACTGGATAAGTAAAAGGATATAAATGGAAAGGAGTTAGAGATAATTTAATGCAACCGACTTATTCCACAAGTGAGAAAACTCAAACCCACTGAAGCTAGGTGATTTGTCAAATGACAAAGTACAGTTTAGTCACATCTTCAGTACCTCAGAAACAAAACAGTAAGTAATGTGGGCTTCATTCTTTATCCACAGCTATGATCAAATGAAAATTGCTCTTCTGGTGATGGGGATTCCATTGGGGAACTGAAGAGAAAGCCATTAAATTCTCAAATCGGGAAGGTTAATCAAAGAGGAACAGTGGATTTGGAATACCAACCCAGGTTCACATTTCTTAAATACTTTGTAAGAGACACTGCTCAAAACTCACTCAACATATTTTTCTTTCTACTTTACTGTAGAACCTTGTCTAGTGTTCATCCATCTCTAATCTACCTTAGAGGAGAATGATTTTATTGCAGCTTGCAATCCTAATTCCCCTTGCCACTGACTTAACATGGGAATCTTGTTTCTGTTGTTTGTAGTGCTGGAGACTGAACCCAGGGCATGCTAGTCAAGCACTCCACCACTAAGCTACATCCTTTCCCCTTCCTCCAACTTTTTTGGGTGTCCAGGGGATTGAACCTAGTGCCTTTCCACTGAGCTATATATCCCTAACCATTTTTAAATTATTATTAGTTTGAGAGCAGATCTTGCCCACACTGGGCTCAAAATTGTGATACTTTTGCCTCAGCCTCCTGAGAAGCTGGAACAGACACACACAGTTGCCTGTTTTTTTGTTTTGTTTTTTGTACTAGGAGTGGAACTTAGGACCCTGTGCTTTTGAGGCAGGCCTCCGAACCTCTGAGCTAAATCCCCTGCCCAGTTGCCTGGTTTTTAAGGTAGGGATTCTAGCAATGGGAAGCTGAAAGAAGATCTTGTGGGAGGAAAAGATTCCTTACTAATTAGAGAAGCAAGAAGATGGTCTCTTTCCTGTATTTAATGTCTAAAATTCTGTAGCCATCTTACACTCTGAGAGGAGCCAATATCTAGGGGACAGCAGAGCAGAGAGAAGGAAAGAATCTGGACCAGTAGATGATAACATTTTTTTAACATTCTTTTCTCTCTCCCTCCCTCCCCTCCC